TGCAGCTCTGGAAATCAATAAGCATTGAGCCCTTTCAACTACAGTCTGAACAGTCTCACTGTGTATCCAAAGCACAAGCTGAGATCCAGCTGCCATTAGCAAATGTAGCTAGTAATAATTGATCTTTCTGCTCAGCACATTCATTAGGGAAAGTTCTGCTTCATTCTCCCACATTCCCACAGTCTCACATTACACATGAAACTAAACGTGCTACATTTTCAGGTGTGTAGTAAAACTTTCTGAAGTAAAACTCCTAAGTGTCAGAGATCCATAATTTAATCAGCAGTTGCGGCTTTTAGCTGCTGTCATCTCAGCAGTTTATATGCTTCTCTCATGAATGCTGCAGCCCACTGAGGTCAAACAAAATGGGTCTGCTGTCCTTAAATCACCTGTTGTCAGTGACTTGTATGGCAGAGTGGGTCATGACTGACGGTTGTTTTTGCATCAAGATGCCGGATGAACAAGCTGTACATAAAAAATTGGTGGAAAGTAAAATGCATAAAATACAACACGCCAGTGCTTGGGCTTATTTATTAGTGACAGGAACATGTATACACATTCAAATTCTGGATAAATGACCAATTTCATGTTTATGTAGAACAGGTGGTGGGAAAATGGTGTTTTCCATTTTCATTTTGACTGAAAGCACTTAAGTGAAATGAAAGAAATTAACAGATGGTCTGTATTTCTTCCGTTAATGATCTTCCTGCTTACAGACTGAGCTGTAATGAAAGCACTGGGGCATTCTGATGATAGTTAATGGCAGGATTCTTTTAAAGCAATTGCTAAATATCGTATAACCAGCTTCACTGTGAAAGCCAGCAAACTACGCAGGAGTTACTTATTTCAGTTCCTCTTTTGCTTTTCATATCCTCCTCGTCTGCTTCTGCTTTATTGGCATTGTTTTGTAAATTGTGTAGATTTTTTATTTGCACTTTTATGCCTGCATAAGCATGGTGTCCCTTTTTGGCATTGGCACAGTACAGAAAAATGACATTTCACTTTGGAGTAAACTGTGTTAAACCCACCTTTCCATGAAATACTTTTCATCCTCCATCACCCTGCTGAAACAAATCCTCCTCTCATATCTCCTTTTACTTTTGTTCTTGTCTTATGTCTAAAAATAAATCATATCTGCCTCTCTTCTCTTATCTGTCTCAAAACATTTCTGTCTCACAAAATTCTTCCAGGCAAGGAAAGTTTCATACCCTCCGCTGTCAGGGTGATACAATCTGTGACCCTTAACTTCTGGACTTCTTATTTCTTGTAATGTTTTGATCAATAAACTCAACCTGCTGTTGCAATCTTTTGTAAAGTATCTGAATGAAAGCATCAGAAACATCCCCAGAACATGATGCAAAATGTTAATTGTTTCTCTGTCCATGCAGACGTCAGAGGAAGTGGCCGAGAAGATGACCGGCCTGCTGGTCCCGATGGACCACGAGCGCAGCTTCACCATGGCTCTGGATGACAAGGTGTCCAAGCTTCCCAAATCTGTTGACTACCGCAAGAAGGGCATGGTGACTCCAGTGAAGAACCAGGTCAGAGATCATCTAGCACTAGCACACATCTCACCCCTCGTGTATTTAGTAACCACTACATGAATTGTTATAACATAAAAATTGTTCCTTATTATATCCAGTTCATGAGAGCTTTGAGATTTAGTTGTTTTTTGGTAGACAACCAGCTGCACACAAAACAGTGTAGTTCAGACATACATTTGTCCTTGAAGCATTCTCTTGTAAAATCAAAATATATTTGAAATCACTTCTCGTAAAGTCTAAACCTCACCTTTATGAGGCAAAAAGGCCTTTTTTCACAGCAGGCATTTTGACTTATCATAGATTATTATGGTGTATGAAAAATGTGATTTATTTTCACAAAAGTGAGAACGTTTTTTTTATACACTCTATTTTGATTTAACAAGAAAAAGACTTGGACGGATGAACTGAAGGTGAATGCACATCTTGTTAACTCCCCCACCTCCGTTAGAGAGCAGTCTATAAGCTTTTCAATACTGTCTCAGAAATTAGGAGAAACTGGCAAGCATGAGCCACAGTAGTCAAAGATACTGAAATCCACAAAAAGAAATGTATTCATGAATGTAACCAGTCTTCTTAAGGTAATGCTGGAAAATCCCACAGGTCGAATCTGTTGAGTCTTACACAGGTGGTAGAAGCTGATAAAGTTCAAGTTAGTTCATGAATAGGGAAGTGGAAGAACCTGTTGGTAGACTCTATTTCATCTTCACATGTCTGGCAGAAAGGAGAGATGACAATTAACTAAATCAATCATCAGAACACAAGTTATGACAACTGAGATCACATGATAGAAGCATTACATTTCAGTAAGCACAGCGACCAAAACAGACCTGGAACATGAGATGACATTAGACCCAGACTGAAATTACTGTATCATAGTGCATTCGAATGATATCAGAAACAATGTTTCGAGAAGGAGGAAGTTATTGTATTGTGGAAGCTGGCATGTTCCTGTCGATAGTTTTCCAGGTAACCGAAATAGAAGATAGTTATCTACAGATAATAGTTCAGCTGGGTTTTGGCATGTGACAGTGTTTGTTTGAGGTTGGGAAAGGTTCCCAGGGCTGTTTATAGGCATGTTTGAGAAGGAAGCAAAAAGCTTCATTGATTTCTGCAGTGAAATGTGGCTGAAGCAAAATTAATGACATTAGTGGGAACATATAACAAAATGATAATGATATAACGAATGTAAACTGTGGAAATATTAAAAAAGAAATGTGATTTAAGCACACGAACATGACAGAAATCTACAATTATCAGCATATAAAAACTATGAATAATAATAATGCAGAACAATTATTAATATGTTGATATTTTCACATACAAAACTTGTAACTTCATATTTTTCAGCCTTTAACATGTCCTGGACATACAAGGTTTGCACCCAACAGCTTAATGCGCTAATTTGAACGAAAATATTTAAAAACATTCTCCAACATGTGCGAGTGGTGCTGTGGCCTTCTCCAGAGAGCAGCAGCATTGACTTCAGAGTATGTGGTGAATATTTTCGCTTGTCAAAAAAGACCAAAAGCTTTCAGAAAAATACCTGAAAACAGCCTCCATTTTTCCCCCAGTTGCAACCTTACTTCATGCTCCATAAAAGCAAACAACCCCAGTTAGAGTACAATCACGTATCATGCCGGAGGAAACAGTCTGTTCTCACTGCCAATGGTCTTTGAAAACAAAACAATGGGTTTGGTTATTAGATGTAATTAGTCATCATGAGTGGAATGGACAGCCGGGCCTTGTTTATGCAAAAAAGAGTCGAGCAGAACAGGAAGCACATATATACATAAGTATATAAATATGGCATACACCTGTGCTTTCTGCTAAAAGGCAGATTAGCAGCAGAATGATGCATGAATGTCAGTACTAACCCTGAAGCTCAGGAGGCTCAGCGTGGTTAATAGTCAGTTTACAATGGAAATGTTCATGTGCTGTTTTGCTCTACTTAATATATAATGTTAGTCATTTGTTTTTGCTTGGGTTTTGTTTTTACCGTGATGCAAACACCTACATTATTTTGTAGCCAACATTTATTTTGTCCACAAGTAGGCATCCAGAAAGAGATATGCAATTTTTTTTTTACCCTGCACAATTTTTTTTTAGAAACATTTATTTTAGCTGAATTTAGAAGTAGTCAGGATACATTTAAGCATGCAATTTATTTATTTTTATTTAATTCAATTGTGCATTAAAATGCAGTATTTTGTATTTCAGTTTAAATATAAATAATCCCTGTAATTGTAACGCCAGTTTATGTGTCAGATGTTATCGCCCTCTGATGGATTAAAATCAAACTGCAGCTATAAACAGGAATTATTGAGCTGCTCCTGTGCTTCCTTTCGTCATGAATTATGCAGCAGACTGACTGCACTCTGTGCATACAGAGCTCTGATGCTTCCTCCCAGCTCCTTTTATGATGACTGAATAGTGTTTTGATGTTTTGTTTGTTTCTGGCAAATTTCAGCTATACCAGAGCTCAAAGCCACCTTCAGAAAACCCCCCGTGATACTGATGCGATTACATATTTACAAAGTTTTTAATTGGAGCAAGTCAGAGCAGCAGAATGTCAGAATGTTTTCCTAGAGGAGGAACAGCTGAGGTGTTTTAACTCGAAGGCAAGAGTTTATAGTCAGACAAGGACAAGTTTTACCACTTTATGACTGAGAGAGCATGAACACAGAAGCTCTGTTCTTCAGCACAGACCAGGAATCCAGTTCTTTAAGGAAAACAGGTTTAACATACGGGAATTCATAATAATCTCTATCAGATGTGAACTCAAATAGCTACTAGTTAGTTTGGGGCCTGTTTAAATTGGCCTTCAGGTAAGTCAGTGTGACATGAGGTGTACCTAAGATACTACATGGCTAAATGTAAGTGGTCACCTGAACATTACACCCATATGCGATTGCTGAAGATGTAATACCAGTTTTCAACCAGATGTTGGAACCTGGCTACAGGTATTTGCTCCTATTCAGCCACAAAGGCATTGGTGGCAACACTGACACTGGTGATCTGGTCTGGCTCATAGTTGGTGTTCCAGTACATCCCAAAGGTGTTGGATGCAGTGTAGATCAGGGCTCTGTGCAGACCAGTAAAGTTCGTCCATACCAAGGTGGAAATATCATTTCTTTTATGTAGCTGGATTTAGGTACAGGGGCCCTGGAAAAGGAAAGCGCCCAAAGTTGGCATAAAGGACACTGTTGTCTAAAACAGTCGTTTACAATCTTTTTCTGCTTGTGACCCCTTAAAACAAAGGTTACCTGTCAATGCTGGTTACATTTGACAGTTGGTTTTTACCAGTTCAACCAAAGACTTTTCCCCCCCTTTATGTTATTTTTTTGGAAGTGGTAGGAATAATGACAAGAAATACTAATTCACGTAGTAATTCACTTGATAGAAACTAGGCTAAATAAATCTCACCAAAACCGCCTTGGCTAGTCTTTCCACTGTTTCAACAATCATCAGTTATAGTATGGTCAACATAAACCCTTAATTCACAGAATGTCCACATACTTTTGGCCACACTGTGTATTTATGGTAGAACATAACATGCATGTATAAAATAACATGCTCAAAGTGAGTCATTTAACTGGGTTTCAGTGGAGCGCCGCACTGTCCCATGATGATGTGTTGTCAAAGCCTGCCTCCCAGTGGACAGACAAGGGAAGACACAAACTAGACAGCTTCTTGTTTTTTCATGTCACATTAATCAGTTTGATTTCCCTGGGGGGGTTGAGATGCTGTTGATTATTGATTAATCTGCAAATTATTTTCTAAATGAATCATCTGGGATATAAAATGTCAACAATACAGATTGTTTTTTTTCCAAAAGTCCATGGTGCTGTCTTCAGATGACTTGTTTTGACTTACAAACAATTCAAAACCCAAAGATATTCAGATCACTTCAAAATCAGACAAAGAAGAGCAGCAAATCATCACAACTAGGACAGTTTTGGCATTTTTGCTGGGGAAAAATGTGACTTAATGATTCATTCATTTTCTTTCTATCAACAAATCCATTCACTGATTGATTGTTTCAGCTCTGATCCCAACCAGCTGTGTTCTTTTTTCCTTATAAATTAACACCTGGATAAAAATACATTGAATTATCTTATCTTTATTCTTCTTTTATACCATCTAAACAGCCACATGTCTTTGAGTCAAAACTCGTTTTTTCTTCAGGTTTTCATGCATTTTAGTTTTTCTTGCTTCATCAAACTAAACCCCTCACTCTCCTCTCTTTCATCATTCTACTCACAGGGTTCCTGTGGCTCCTGTTGGGCCTTCAGCTCAGCCGGGGCCCTGGAGGGCCAGTTGGCCAAGCAGACGGGTAAGCTGATAGACCTCAGTCCCCAGAACCTGGTGGACTGCGTCACAGAGAACGACGGCTGCGGAGGAGGCTACATGACCAATGCCTTCAAGTACGTGCAGGAAAACGGAGGCATCGACTCTGACGAGGCCTACCCATACATCGGAGAGGTAAGAAAGCCTCACTGCCATACATATGAAGTTAACTAAGAAATATCATATTATCCTAGACTTGTGTTTAGTCATCAACTATCATGTGTCCTGAGACTAGGTTCACCACATTCGTGAACATTTCATTTTTCTTTCCTGCCACGTGTTAACACTTATTCCCCTGCTGTTGTTGGTGTAACATCCTGTTCTGTGGCCACAAATCACAACTAAAGCAAAACTTAAAAACGTGATGATTGTCAGGGAAGTTCTGGAGTTATAAGCATATTTTTCAAACAGATGTGTATCATGATACACGTTTTTAGATTCAGGGTGACTTACACAGATTCTATTAATTTGGGGGGGTCTTGCAAGAAACAAGCCGAGGTATCCTTACTTTCAGCCCCAAGAGTCAGTTTGTTTAAACCAATATAAAAACATGTAAAAAGTGTAAAAAAGTACTGCAGGCAGATTTTGTTACCTTTGGACACAGCCAAGCTAGCTCTTTCCCCTCGTTTCTGGTCTTTATGCTAAGCTAAGCGTTTGCTGGCTCAGCTTTGTATTGAACCATAGTATTAATTGAACGTACAAGCATGAAAGTGTAATTGAAGCTAATAGTGTTACTCCCAAAACTGAACTAATCGTTTAAGATGTTAGTTTTAAATTACACTAAATACCCAGCAGTCTTACTAAAAACAAAATGACAACAACTTCCAGAAATCAGCTGCAGACACAGACTGAAACCACAGTGGTCAACGGTTCCTCACTTGGCTTTCAGGATCTCACACTTGGGCCAGTCACATGTCAACACACAAAGAAAAAAAATCACCCCATTCAAGTGTGACATTACTGGAGGTGACTTAGCAGAAATGATAAAGTAGAACGTCCTCCATTTTCTTACAGAGCAAACAGTATTTCCTCCTTAGTCATCTATTAAAGTGAAAAGGAAGTACAGCTGTCTGGTAATGATGTTTGCCCTTTGTTTGGATACCAGGAATGTACTGAGGCTGTTATCAGACACGCCATGTGAAATGTGCACGTGACAGTGAAATCACAAGGTTCAACATTTTATTTTAAAGGCCATTTATCTGACCTTTGTTTTTTGTTAATGAATTATTCGTTTGGACTATAAAACATCAGACAACAGAGGAAAATTCACAATTTGCCAGAGCCTAATAGGACGTCATCAAACATCTTTTTATTTTGTCCACAACCCCAAAATATGCAATTTACTTCAGTGTTAGACAAGGAAAAGCAGCAAATTTTCACATATGATAACCAGGAAACCTTCAAATGTTTGGTGCTCTGGTTTTTATTTGATTTTCTCTGGCTCGACTAATTGATTAATCGAGCTCTACATCTCTGTACATTTGTCTTTGTTATTCTTCCTTTTTTTATACATACCTTAGAGCATCTTAAAGTATTTAGGGTGGTACCAATGACCACACTGTGTGTAATTACCTGATGTCACATTAAGGAATATACATTTTCATTGTTTTCCTTTTCCTTTGTCTTGTGTGCAGGATCAGCCGTGCCGTTACAATTCATCAGGCATGGCAGCCCAGTGCAAAGGCTACAAGGAGGTCCCAGTGGGCGACGAGCATGCGCTGGCTGTCGCACTGTATAAAGTGGGTCCAGTATCGGTGGGCATCGACGCCACGCTGAGCACCTTCCAGTTCTACACCAAAGGTGAACTGTTCAGACTTTTTTTTCTGCTAACAGGCACAAAATTACCAATCCATTTTTATGATATGTATTATTTCATGCAAGTAGTTGGTAAATGAGACAAATGACAAATGAAATGGTTATCCATTCCATGCTGCTGCAAGCCTGTTAACCAGGTCTAACCAGACAAACCACATCACACCAATCTTCCGTTGGCTCCCTGTGAGGTTCAGGATTCATGTTATAGAGCCCTGCTCCACGCACTTAACTGAAAACTAGAGGTGATCGTGCATTTAAAGTGGTGGCGATTTTATGTTGTTGTTGCTTTTGTTTTGTTGTTGTCTCTTATTATACATTGGCTTTATTATTCTTTATTGGCCTTATTATTTATTATTTATTTATCTGAAGGGTGCCATATTGAATAAACTTTACTTGGCTATTTACTTACATCACAATATGCTACTTTACAGCAAGCAAAGGTGACTGGATTAACACTCACAACACATTTTGTGATAGGGATTTTCTTGTTTAAGAAGAGTGTAGTTGAAAATGTGCTAACGCGATTTAAAGGTCCATTCCCATCAATTGTAATTATTAGCTCTTTAATTATAGATGATTCTAAAAGACTATCCTTTTCTACAGCAGTGAATGCTTCTCGATGTAGCTCAACTAAAATGTCAATAAGGATTTCATTTTTGACAGGGCAGTTGTAGTTTTCCATACAGCAGCAGGGCACAGTGAAAGAAGTTTGTCAACTTAATGAGAAGTTAGAGGTGTGCAGCCTGTCGCCTGCAGCTCTTCATCTAACAGATCGCTGTGGCGTTTTGTTCCATTACTCCCCGACGTATTTCAAACTGATGACACTGACAAGAAAATGACCAAAATGGCCATTGTCTTGTTTTGTAGATGAATTTTTGATGAACGACCGCGGTTAGCTCTAACCACAGAGACAAATGCTGTCAAAGTGAAGCAGCAGCAATTGGATGTTCGGTTTGCATTAGTAGTAACTTAATATAGCTCTGATACAGTTTAAAGAGAGCAACTAGTAAACAGTGAGGCTGATATTACTGAGATAAAACTGTGCTGGATTACATGCATGCAGCATTCTCATGTGAATGCCTTATATTTAGGCAGGTAATCTGAACGGTGTGAATGGCTAAATGTAATATATCGGGAGATAATTACTTTATGTTTTTGATAATTCAGGATTTTTCCACCAGAATGTTCTTCCTAGCAGTGTGGAGAGGTCTTTAAAAGTATTTTGACTTTAATGTTGGGAAATATAGAAAATAAAACAAAACAGTTAGCTGCATAAATAAAACAATGAAAAATGCATCACCATTTTAACCTGATTCAAATTAATATTCATTTTCAAAAAGGGAAAGCAACATAGAAATTGTATTAGCTACACGTGTATTACATGTTGGTTCAGTGCTATACTTCCAGGATTTATCCTCTTCGCCTCACTCTTCTTCTCCTTGCATGGCCCAGGTATTTACTACGACCGCAACTGTAACAAAGACGACATCAATCACGCCGTGCTGGCAGTGGGCTATGGAGTCAACACCAAGGGGAAGAAGTTCTGGATTATCAAGAACAGGTGGGTCATGTCACCTGGCATCAGGTGGCTCATAAGGCTGCCAAAATGAAACGACAGGTTCTTTATTAGTATAGTGTTGATTTGATGCCTTCTGTAGGTGACAAACTGATGAGCTGGAATGCTGTTGACTCCTGGCGATGCTCAGCCACTCTCATGTCTCTTTCTTTCCATCTGTTTCCTCATCTTTTGTCTTTCCCTGACAGCTGGGGCGAGGGCTGGGGCAAAAATGGCTTCATCCTGATGGCACGCAACCGTGGCAACCTCTGCGGCATCGCCAACCTCGCCAGCTACCCCACTATGTGAAGAGACTAGCGTGAAGCTCAGAGGAAGACAAGGGTGGACGTAGGGGCTTTGCTCAGACTACTACACACACAAATACACTTGGAAATGTACACAGAGTTCATTCCAACATGTCAGCAACCACTACAAAAAATTAATGAAAGGTTTACCTTTATCATATATATACATATATATCCATATTTTGGATTATCCATACAGTAAAAATAAATTAATGTAGGACTTTTGGAATGAACCTTCTCCAATGATAAAAAGTGTTGGATCCTAATGTCCAAAAAAATGTCTAAATGGGACGTTTGGTCATCTTGAATAAATTGAAGCACTTTAAAACCCTTAAGTCTTTCGGTTTAATCTCCGAACCAGCCGACCTCCACTTTTGTCTGCTTCATAAAGAAACACATACAGTTTTAGTACCTCCAGGTGTTAGTAACCCTACCCTACATCACCGGTTGGCTTTGCGTCAAAGTGCCAATTTGAATCTACAAACCTACCAGGCACAACCAACATTTCACCGGATTTGACTTGTAGTCAGTGACAGTTTCATTCCCTAGCTTTAATTACAGTTTGTGTGCAAACTAACAGAGTTTAGATTCAGTGTGACAGGAAACATTGCTGGGCAATGGGACCTCCTCCTTTCCTGTTGACGCAGAGTCACTTCCTTTAGAATTTTAACCAGTTCTTCTCTTGATCGTGTCGACTTTTGGTGTTTTTGTTCTGTTCAGCACTTTTCTGATGATCAAACGGTAAAGTGATGTTTTCTATGATATTGAATAAAGGTTTCATTTTGAAGTTGAGTGCCTCATTTGTATTCTTCATACTAATTCAAACAAACAAAGAAAATATCAGCTGCTATAAGCAAGCTATATGAGCTACAGCAAATAGCATTTTGTAATGAAAATTTCAATTGACTGGTTCCTGTACAAACACTGTAAAGTCTGATACATACTATATACACCCAATGATTTGATGTTAAGAGTTCACTTTATGATGCAATGACAGACCTTTTTGCCCCACCAGCTACCAAACAATAACACAATGTTTAGGTGACAATAATGTCCTGTGGTTTTCTAAATTTAGTTCAGTAAATATGTGATGCCTGACAGTATATACCGAAAACAACATGCCATCTTTAAACACTGCTGTAATAATAGTAAGGGTTCATTGGTGTATTTATAAGAAACTCATCACAGGATCCAGTTTGTCAAAGTAGTCTAATTTTATCAAACAAGAACATATCTGATTTAGAAGTATCAGTTGCTTTCTAAGAATATATGCTATATTGCAGTGATAGGCAAATAGTTGCCAGTAAGCCAAATCGTTTGCATGACTTTTCACAAATCTACTGTAGATAAAAATGCAAATACTATAATAATAATCTTGTATCTTGCAATGTCTAATAGGTTGCATGTTGTTGTACTAAAGTCTGTATTTTACCATACAGTAGCTTCAGTAGCAGTATTCCATGGTGTCATACACAATATGTTATATACAATGTATTATATAAGTGCAAAGCATGTAGTATAAACATAATCTTACACACTATTTGTCAGTGGCTATATAATACTAATCAAACACCAAATATTTATATTCACAGCAACATATTTACAAATTTGACTTTTATATGATTGTTATTGATTTAAGCTCCTGTGGTAGCAGAATGGGTTTAACCATCCGTCCATCCCACACTTTGGTCCAGAGAACTCATCAACATCTGACCTCCTGACCTTTTAGCCAGCGTCCTACACTTTAGTGCAGGATCACATATGCCTGCTGCTACTGACTGCATTCCCAAGACATCTGCAGTGCAGTCATGCTCCCCAGACCTTGAATCCTAACATCTTTTGTGACCTTCCTGACCTTTCTTATTGCACCCCATCATACCAGAGATTTCAATTTTACACCAGAAATATGAAAATCTATTAAGCAGTTTGCCATGAAATAAGAAACATATTCATTCCCCCTGTGTTGGAGGAGTGTTTTTCATTTCCATTTCTCCAGCCTCAGGACAAATTGTCAACTTTGCTGACAGGATATCTCATAATCTCACTTTATGTAATATACTAAGCACCTTAAATCCTGTTGAAATCCTTAGTTTCTTTAGTGTTGCACAATTTTATATTGTGAAGTGCAATGCATATCACAGTATATGGACTGCTACTGCAGACTTAAAAAAATATGAACTTTTTGTGTGTAGACACTAATTACTCCTAATTAATTGTTTCAATTTATAATAATATAATAATATAATAATACAACTTTTGCTCATTCTTCATATACTCAGCAAAAGAAGAAAGTCCCTTTTTAAGAGCACTGTATTTTAAAGATAATTCTGTAAGATTTCAAATAACTTTACAGATCTTTATTGTAAAGGATGTAAATAATGTATTCCATGCTTGTTCAATGAACCATAAAAAATGAATGAACATGCACCTGTGGAACAGTTGACACTGACAGCATTTGGTAGGCAATTAAGGTCACAGTTATAACTTAGAACGCTAAAGAGACCTTTCTAGTGACTCTGAAAAACTCAAAAGTAAGATGCCTAGAGTCCCTGCATGCTGCAAGGAGGCATTAGGACTGCCGATGTTGCCAGGCCAATAAATTGCAATTTCTGTACTGTGAGATGCTTAAGAAAGCACCACAGGGGGGACAGGAAGGACAGCTGATCGCAATGGCGTCACTTTGTGTTGACAAGTGGTGGGGACATAGGGGCTCAGTTTAGGGCTGTGAAGAGACACTTAGCTCGCAAGATGTCACGATAAGCGATGTTAGGTTCACGAAAACTAAACGAAAAGATCCTTAAACAGTGTTTTAACGATATCCTCAATGTCAACATTGTGTCTGGGGAGACCTCTCCCAGGAAATTTTGATCATGAAACACTTCATTTGCTGCTTTCTCGTGAATGTTTCTGCAACAATGGTGGAAATGTATTATTTTTTTATGTAAAAGGAAACACAAAATTCAGGAAGCAAACATTTTAAAATATATAAATATAACAAAATCAGCCATTTCAAAACGTGTCCCCAGCGTCCCCAGTGTAAATGAGTGGCAGTGGCAGACCACATGTGACAACACCTGCACAGAACCACGGGCCACACCAGATACTGATTGTTACTTTTGATTTTGGCCCCTCCTTTGTTCCGGGGAAACATTTTTCCATTTCTGCTACTCCCATGTCTGTGAAACTTTGTTCAGTTTGTGTCTTAGTTGTTGAATCTTTTTATTTTCACAGTATAAATATTAACACGTGTTAAGTTTACTGTAGAAGCTGTCTTAAGTGAGAGGACATTTCTAATTTTTGCTGAGTAACTTCATTTTTCGCCTGTTGGTCTTTCCACTGCGTCGTTTCAGGTGATTACAAAACCCTTCAGCGAGATGCAGCTGAATTAAAGAGGAAGAACTGCGATATATCATGTGACACTTACCTCATAAATATCAACCAGGAAAACAGTCAGGGTGCATTCGACATAGAAGCAGCGATGAGTCCGACTGATCAAGGCAAGTTACACACCCTTCATCAAGACTTTTAACTTTTATCGATTTATTTTCCTTTTTATATTAATGGCAGGACGTTTGTGAAAGAGGAGTCCATTAATAAGAAGCTTTAAGTCGTGTTTGCTTTTAGTTTCGTTTTTGTGTTTTACACAGGCTTCAATTGTCCTAGTGTCAGGAAAATCATCTTGTACTAACGCTTTTACAATATTACACTAAGGTTTAGAGTGTTTGTGGTGCTTCATAATAACTTTAAGACTACAAAATGATCTAAATATATTTTAGTATTTCATCTGCCAGTCTCTAGAGTGTTGAGAAACGATGTTCTGTACATTTTTGTTACAGTGACATTATACAAAACATTTATTATTAGACTGATTTATTGTTTCTTATTATTAGTATTTCTGAAATGTGTAATAAGATAAACAAAGGTAACCAAACAGGCCATTTTCTTTGATAAAGTCCAATGTTACTTGGCTGGATCTAGAGTTTCAGATTCTGGCAACAGGCTATATTTAAGGTATATTGTAGGTTTGTGTGATCTTGGGTTATGTTATCAAATAAAAGCCTCTTTATTCTCAGCTTATTTCTTAAGTTCACTTGTTTACCATCCTCAAGGTGATCAGGTGAAACTGGTAGATCTGCAAACTGAACACTAACTGAACACCTCGCTAACCCACGTCCAGTACATTATCTTTAATCGTCCAATCGTTTGATTAAAAAATAACTGATGTTGAAACTTAGTGACATAACTGAAATTTCTTGCTTGTTCAGTAGTTTCAGTTCTGGTCTTGTGACAGTTACCACACTTGGGGATATATGTACAGTTAAATGGCTTTACATTTGTGGAAGCAACACTCAGACACACACTTTTCAAGCAGCCTTATGTAAGAGGTATATTTTTAAAAGTCTGTTCAGCTTTGTAGATATGGGTGATCAGAACGTTCAGAACATTTCAACATAATGCAATCTAAAATACCACCTGCACTACCTCCATAACTCTAAGATGAACAGCATGAAAAAGAAAAGTTTTATGTATATTTTTTAAGACTCTATCTCTAACCGTACTGTAACAAACCACAAACCACAATATTTCATGTTTCCTCCAAAATGTATTTGATTGCAAATGTTCTCAATCTGAATATAGTTTATTATAGTATAGTATAGGAAACCTGTGTTCTACAGGTACCAGAAGGCTAGGCACTTATCTAATATTAAATTATTGTGCATCAACATTCACCTAAGTATAAAATTGTGAATATGCTGTAATGGAATAATGTTTGAGTTTTGTGTGATGTACAGTTCATTCACTTCCACCAAGTGCTTTGAGTTTCCCAAACACAAACCATTAAAAACTGGAATTATGCACAGGTGGAACTGATAACATTGACATTCTTGCTATATATCTGCTGTGAAAAGCCGTGGAGGATATGAAATCAGTTTAACTTTCAGACAGCATTCATCAAGCTATCTGATTTTAGCAATTCTGGGAGTGAAAAATGTACTGATGTATAAAATAAATAGACTCTCAACTTCTCCCAGTGCCGTTCATTTCAATTTCTTTCTCGCAGAACATTCGGACAATATATTTACGTACTTTTCAGATTTGATTCAGTTTCTGTAAACCGCTTTACAGCTTAAGTTACTCAAGTAACATTACTATTTAGAAGAGGATTAGACTATGAGCATATTGCTTACTGGTATATTCTTTATAACCTGTACACATGACCATTCCCCTACAGTAAGTTACTAAAGATATAACACACACATTAACCTTGTGAGTGTAAAAATCGAAGTTCAACCAGAACTCTGCAATAATGTGTTGCGGTGTGTTATTTATCTAACTGACTGGCAGAGACAATACATACCTGCAGCCCAAATGAAAACCACTTCCTCCTCATATAGCAACACTTTTGTTCCTCACTCCTCAGGCTCAGCGCTACTGTAATAACATCTTAGAGTTTGTTTTCAACAAACATTTCTTAGAACCAGAGCCCCTGTGGATGCAAAAATGAATCCTAGTGGGTTGACAGTAACCTAAATGGAACCAAGTTTTCAGGTTATTCTGAAAAAGTAGACAAAAGTCAGGTTAAAAAACTACACTGTGAGACAGGATATCAACTTTGAAAATGAATGGTGCTGAAACCAACTGGAAAAAAATATATAAATGAATCATGCTTACCGGGGCTCTCAAGTCTCACGCATTCACCGTGAGACACACGCATTTCAGCCAGTTCATACGCTCACATGCCACACCTTGTATTTCTCACACCTTTGAAGTTGTCCTTCACATTGT